TGTAATTTAACCATTAAAAAGGGGGCCAAAAAAAAAAAAAAAAAAATACGTTACTGCCATTACTGCTGTACTGCTTAAAGTCTTCAGTGTCACATGATCCTTCAGAAAGCATTCTAATATGCTGACTTGGTGCTCAAGAAACATTTATTATTATCAATGCTGAAAACAGTTGTGCTGCTTAATATTTAAGCCATGAAACCATGATTTTTCAAGGATTCTTTTATAAATAAAGTTCTATAGAACAACATTTATTGGAAACAGAAATCTTTTATAACATAAATGACCTTACTTGTCACTTTTGATCAGATTAATGCACCCTTGATGAATAAAAGCATTAATTCTACTATAATTATATATAAGCCTAAAAAGCTGAAAAGAATGACAAACACTTAACAGCACATTAGAACCTTTTTTTAAACAAAATTATAGGTGGTTGGTGAAAAAGAAATGGTACAAATCTTTCATCCCTCTATCTGACACAAATCACCAAAAATGAAAACAAAATACAAATCGCATGACATCCAATTCTACCATTTCTGTAAATCAGACATAAAAAATATTTTAATAAACACCAGTCTTCACTACTAACCATTACAACATAAACTTCCAGTTTACAGTCAGCATATAAAATCAAATGTCTAGCTCTGCATTAGGGATGTTTAAAGGATTTCTACTCTCCCCCTCGGCAGTAAAAGATATCACAGCTCCGTACACTCAGTGTCTCCCAGGCACTGGAGAGCCTAACACATCACACACTCCCTCACAACAACTCCTCCCTACTCTGATCTGTTTGTTTTCTACCATGTCCGGCAGCTAGCAGGCTATCTCAGCATGCCATCAGCCAGCAGGGTTCACGTTCCCGCTAACTAATGCAGTACATACTGTATGCAGCATAATGATGCATGCATTGCATAGTAAATGTTGAATGTAGCACCAGCATAAAAATAACTGAACTAGCTGATATTAGGGCTGTGTATTGGCAAGCATCTGGCGATACGATACATATCACGATACAGGAGTTGCTATACGATATGTTGTGATACACTGCGATACTGTAAGCAAGGCGATATATTGGGATATATCTTATTTTAGTTCCACTTGGATTTCACAGGTTTTTCAGTTTGTATTTATGTTCCACGTGGAATCGCCGAGACCGCGACGCGAGCACCGCCCTAACTGCACAAAACGCCCCCACCACGAGAGAAAGCTGTAGCTCCGTGCGAAAGCTCTTTCCACAAAAGCCCAAATGACGCCACACTTCAGCTTTGTACACCGAAACAGGAACTGGAACAATTATTTCATCCTCCATTACTAGCATATTAATGCTAACATTAGTAGCGTGCCCTAATGCTAGTATTTCCTGTCACTGTTTAAGTTCAGAGATGAAGACTGCTATCTAGCGGTCGGGATATAAACTCAAAACGAAACAACTGCCATGAATCTTGCATGATTTTTTTTTTAAAATATCGATATTCCGTTTTTGAGAATCGATACAGTATCGCCAAACAAAATATTGCAATACTCACATGTATCGATATTTTCTTACACCCCTAGCTGATATACCTCAATGGAGTGCAAATGGAGACTTGCTTAAAAAGATCTTACTAATCTGTTACGTGTCTAATTTAGTTGACTAAATAATTATTTGGCTATTGGTTAACATTATCCAAACGACAAACTTTTTTGAACTTTGCACTGATGAATCATTCATGTTACAAAATCACGCTACAGATTTTGTATAAGCTAATAAAGCAGGCTTAAAATTGGAATGAATTGTGACGGGGCTGTAAAAAACTTGCTCCTGAGACTTTTCACACAAGATGGAAACTAGATCTTTTCATCATCAAAGTAACAATGTAGCTGTACCCTGCTGAGCTAAAAGCCAAAAGCCAGTGTAGAGACTGAAACAAGGATGAAAGGTGAAAGTTGGGTACAAAAATGTCTTTGATATCCAAATTATGTGTGCTTACAGATCCATCAAGAGAATCTGTACGGAACTGGACCTGCATAGAAAAATGTACTTCAGAAAGTTGTACTGTATATGAGAGCAATGTAAATCTCGATGTGTCACTGCTGAAAGAAGTGAGTTTCATGTTAGAAAAACTTCTATAAACTAGTGGTTGAACTATCAGGATTTTGACAATGGTTGATGCCAATATCTAGACTGCATGCTGGTAATATGCATTTATTGAACAATTAATATAATTTATTATATATTAGTGCTGTCAATTGATTAAAAAAAACTTTTTTTTTCTGTAAATAATCATGATTAATCACACCTAAAATGAAAATTTGTAAATAAATATATTTTTACATTGAATCTTCAAATTATCGTAGAAGCAGCATTAAGGCAGTATATTTAAATACTTATTTACTATGAATTATGAATGGGTATCACAGATAGCAGTACTTATACTGATGTATTTTTATCGATTTCTGTGGATAAAACGAGTAAATATACCCATTCAGCTTTAGAGTAAAATTTGTGCAATACATTTTAAGCCTAAACTGTTACAGAACATTAAATATTAAACATTATAACTTATAATTGAAGTGGACTTAAAACAATCTTCACATAAAAACAGTATAATGAATGTCACATTTATGAGCCTTTACTATAGTATGTTGTATAGTAATACAGTGACGTTTCTGTCCATGTCAGTATCAGCTCTTTCTGTTTAAATGTTCAGATCCTCAAATGTGAAGTTTATTTTGAACATTAATTTTCACAATAAATAAGAAAATTACTAATAAAAACATTTGGTATCAGTATTTGAATGTAAAGACCGGTCCTCTTGATATAATGTCAGTATATACAAATATTTACACTTGTCTTAATCATTGATACAAGCAGGTTACTTTCAGGACTAATGGCAATAATGGCCAAATATTGGCCTCTCTTTCATAAACACGAAGTTTCATTTAATAATGCGTAACATATCCCTTTCTCTTTTTTTACTCCAGCATATTGGCTCAAAATAGCATAGACAGACAACAATATTACATCCATGAAAAGGCTAATGTGATCCCAGCATTTATACAGTCCTTCACATTTTCACACTGTTTAAACACACTCCCACACTATAATGACAGGTGTGTGCTACTCACAACACGGGTAGTTCAACAGGAGTATGTCATCAACTGCAATGTAGCCTTTGCGGTCCACAGTCGCCTCCAGCAATATCTGAAAATACAAAGAGAGGAGAACATGACCTGCAGAAATGTATTTGGGCTTTAAAATCAGAGTGGTTTTAACATTTGCATAAAGTAGTGAAATTACAATGATGGTACAGAGCAGAAAACCTTCTTCTTAATTAATATTCTGGTCTTGCTAATGAGGAAAATACACTTAATTCAAGATATAAGTCAAGTCTTGTTCAATTAGTCGAATAAAATCAAACCTTATTATCTTAAACCACTTTGCATCTTGTTTTAAGGATGTTTGGATGGTAAATAAGAAAATATTGTTGCAGCGCATTTAAAATGTACAGTGTAAATACATACATTTTTGGTTTAGTGAGTGATGCCTTTATATTCATCAACACCAAGTGGTATTTATTAAACACCATAATAATAGTTTCAATCAAACTCACAAAAAGTGTTTTAATGGGCTGTCTGCTCTAGATTTTAACTAGTGTCTGACATTTTTATTGTGCTTCATTAAGATTACATTAATGAAATAATGAATTAAAAGAAATAAGAGAAAACAAGGCAAACAGGAACGATACTGTCAACCACGTTGAAAGCAAGCAAAACACATAATTCATCGTTTTGGCATTTTGTATCTCTTTCTTGAGTTTTGCTTTTGCAAAAAGTTTTGACAGTCATTGAGAGAACAGAAAACGAGAAAAAGGATGTCAAAGCAAGTAAAGAGAATGAGAAAGAGAGAGAAAATAGATGCCAACTTCACTAAGGGCCCCTGAGGCTTACAGGAAATAATGGCTTCATAAGGAGGCCTTCGTGCACTGTGACACATGGCTCTCATTCAGCATGCTGCACACACACACACACACACACAGGCTCATAATGTGAGCGTAAGGGGCACGAGTCCCTGGGGACCTGGAGAGAGTCTCCACACTCGCCAAAGGCTATGAGCAAAGGACGGTCGCTCCAGTGTAATGAAATCAAATCAATATTGTGCGAACGACAGTGATGAGATGTTATTACACATTGAGAGCATGGAGGCCATGTTTGCTCTTCACAACAGTGGTCTGCTTGCCTGCCCACGCTTGACGTTATTGCTTTAAAAAAAGAAAGTCTTTTTTGTTTACTGTCTAGTAACCAAGCAAATCACAGTTATGACCGAATGTTGTGTTTTCAATCATAAAAGGGCGGTTCTTCAACTTCAGAAACTCTCAAAAGTTTTTTTTTTGTATCATTGCTGTCATTTTTTCCCCTTAAAGTCATATTAAACGATGAATTGTACTTGATGGAAACAACCATTTTTAAAGTTCAGGAATAAATTGGCTGACTGTTTTGTCTTGATGAGGTAAATTTCACAGTTTGTATTCTAAACACAATGAAAAACTACTTTCACACTTTTTGCCAAATGTGACAAAATCACAACTTAATTGGAAACTATGCATAATAATAGTATTCTGCAAATCTGTGATATTTGGCTTGAAATTTCTGCTTTCTTTACACATCACATGTCTGATATTTCATTTTAAGCTCTTCACTGACCACTGACCACACATTGTCCCTTTGGTAAACAAGTACACTAACTTAGAAATGACGTTTAATATTCTCACAATAAATATTACATTTTTAAAAAAAAATGTAATTATTTATTTAGATGCATTTTCATATTTCAAGGCTGAAATATGTGCTCTAGGGTAAAACAATAAAATCAATGCATAAAAGGAAAATGAGAATAAGCAAAAGTAAATGATGAAGAGATGAAAAAAGGTTTCAAAGACATTTAAATGGGATATTCATTTAACAAAAAGAAGGGAAAAAAGTTGTTTTATAAAAAAAGTCAAAAGAAAGAAGTCAAAAAAATTCAATAAAAACAGTAATATTTTGAAATATTATTACAATTTAAAACAACCATTTTCTATTTTAATACATTTTAAAATTAATTTTATTCCTGTGATGACTAAGCTGAATTTTCAGAAGCCATTACTCCAGTTTTTAGTATTGTCAATGTTAAAACCAGCTGTGCTGTGATATATTCAGGATTTTTTAATGAATGGAAACTTCAAAGGAACAGCTTGAAATCTTGAAATAGATTTCATTTGTACCATTATAAATGTCTTTAATGGCACTATTGATCAATGTTAGGGATGGAACGATTACCGGTTTCATGATAAACCACGATAAAATGTCCTGACGGTTAGTATTATCGTTTAAAATTTAATTATCATTAAAACCGTGTTTGATTATCGAATCAATTTTTAAATCTCGCGGTAAATCCTGTCCAGCCACCATCAGTCTGACGCGGGAGCAGCACGCATTGTTGTTTTTTGCACGAGATGATATGGCGGAAGGCAGTGAGAGCGCTCGGGAGATTTTTCAGCCATCTAAGAGAACCAAATCGGAGGTCTGGTCGTATTTTGGATTTTACAAGAGTTCTGAGGGCAATTTAATTGAGGACGGTCACCCTGTCTGCAGATCATGCAAGAAGAAAGTCGCTGCAAAAGGGGGAAACACATCAAATTTGCTGAGCCATTTGCGTGATCACCACCCACTGTTATATAGCGAATGCAAGGTAAGTTAACTTTTACCTCAATACCAAAACTAACTAACAGTTAGGGCAAATAATTGGACAAAAAATACTCATTAGAGAATAAATATTTCATTATCTCACTTGTAATTAACGCAAAGCTTCCGCGAAGAAAAGATCGCAGCAAGTGGCTTTGAGTCAAGACAAACGAACATGTCCAAACTATTAAGGTTGACATTTATAGAATAATGTATTGTATATTCGTAGTAAACTTATTACACATATATTTTTTTTACCTATAATATATAATTACGGGGACATGAAATATTGAATTAAGATTAGTGTTTTAAAATCTTACCTGTTTATTAATCCATTATTTACAGTGTACAAAGCAATCGTCCCGACAATATGATCACTAAAGCAATATTATAGTAGTATTAATACTAAATTCCTCTGATTTCATTTTCAATACATTCCAAAACTGAGACGCAAGACGGCAAGTTGCATTTGAATGAAACGAGAGCGCGTCCGCGCCTCCGTGGTGATATGAGAGACATGAATGTGCGCTGTGTTATAGGCCTAATGCGTCGCTAATGACAACAGTCATTATAAAGAAGGAAATGCAGCAGAACAGAATCGATATTCCATGAGTTTAGTCATCTGACCCAACCAACTTATTGTTCATTTAAAATGTGTGTGTGTGTGTAAGTGATTTATTATTATTATTATTATTATTATTGATAATATCATTGATGATAATAACAATAATAAGTAATACTAATATTGGATATACACACACATGCATAAGTGAGTGAATATTATTATTATTATTAATGATAATGCATTTGCTATTCCCTTGTTTACAGAGTGGGCGTGCAGCAGGCAAACCCAGTGGTGCTTCTGGTCCCTCGACTCCCTCCTCATCTACAGTTGTGACACAGACACTTGAACAAGCATTTAAAAGGCAGACTGCTTATGCACCCACATCAAAAAATGCTCAAGACCTCACTGCAGCTATTTCATATTTCATTGCAAAGGACATGATGCCATTTCAAATTGTTGAGAGGCCTGGTTTTCAGAGGCTGATGAAAGTTGCTGTACCACACTACAAAGTGCCATCACGAATTTTTTTTCCAAAACTGAAATACCAAACCTGTACAACCAGGTCAAAGCTGATGTTGTAAAAAAATTAATTCAAGGAACATGGTTTGCTGCAACTTCTGACCTCTGGACTAGTGAAAGCGGTGGTGGTCAACCCTATATAAGCTTCACTATCCATTACCTCACCCCAGACTGGCAACTGGAGTCAAACTGCCTCGAAACTCAGTTCTTCCCAGAAGATCACTCAGCTCACAACATCAGCGAGTTTTTTGAGAATATGCTGGAAGAATGGGGGATCAACAAAAAAGACCTGGTCTGCATAACCACAGACAACGCAACAAACATGATAAAGGCTTTTGAAGGGTTCTCAGACGTGTGGCTTGGGTGCTTTGGCCATAATTTGAACCTGGCCATCTCAAAGGCTTTGAAAATTCAGAGAGTTGAAACAGCAGTCAAGGCCTGCCGCCATCTGGTCCAGGGCTTCTCACGGAGCTGGAGGAGAAGGCGAGAACTGAGGGAAAATCAAGCTGCCCTCAACATGCCACAGAAGGCTCTGATACATGATGTGGTGACTCGATGGGGATCTACATACAAGATGGTTGAGCGTTTCCTTAGTCAACAGCAACCAGTCTGTGCAACACTGGCTGGAGAAAGAGGAGCATGGCATCTGATGCCCAAGGATACTGAAATAACTGTCATGGAGCAACTGTGCCAGCTCCTCGAACCTCTGAGCAAGTTAACGGATGCACTTGCCTCAGAAACACGAGTAACACTGTCAGCCATCAAGCCTGTCCTGGACCACATCAATTGCGATGTTCTAGTGGAAAAGGATACAGATACATCCCTGACCAAAGAGATGAAAAATTTAATGAGAGAAGATCTCAAAAATAGATACACAGAGAAAGCAAAGAGAGTCATGAACATGGCTTGTTTCATTGACCCCCGCTTCAAAAGGAGCTCTTTAAATGAGTCTGAGGCTTCAAAAATTGACACTGACTGTGTCCAGGAGGCTGTGATGCTGGCTGCACAAGTCAGGGAAGAACCACAAAGCACCTCCACCAGCAGCAGCACCTCCACCACCACCAGCACTCCCACAGCAGCATCGGAGGGTAAAGGCCTAGCCGGGTTGCTGAGAAAGATTACTTCAACAACAAGGCAGCAAAGAGGTGAAGAGGGTCAGATTCCGACCACTCTAGAAGACCGTGTAAAAGGAGAAATCAAAGTCTACCTGTCTCTGCCCCCACTTCCAGCAGAAGAGGATCCATTGGTGTGGTGGAGGGGACATGCATCAGAACTGCCTCACCTTGCCAGGGTTGCCAGGAAGCTTCTGTGCATCCCAGCAACCAGCGTGCCTTCAGAGAGAGTGTTCAGTTCAAGCGGGCATATTGTCTCCCCTCAAAGAGCACTACTTAAACCAG